TTACACATGAAATTCAGCTTTTCTGATAAAAATTATAAGGCTTTGTGTTATTTGTTGACAGTTATGAGCCACAATCATATTTAAATCTCCCTGCAAACTGTACCTGTTATGCCAAAATAGTTCTGCTTAGGTTTACAGCCTGTTTAGAAGAATAGCTCCAGACATTATTAGATGTGTAAACAGCTGAAATGTAGTGCTTAGGGAATTCTGTCCACAGAAATTTATAGGTTTTGTTAAGTATATTCCTCAGCTATAAAAATGAGAGGGACCAATTTTGTTTATGCTCTTAGCATATTGTTTGCTTGGCTAAAGTCAGGTTGCCATCAACTGAGGGGATAAAACATGAGTCAATGGCTAAGAAAACTTAGAAATGCTTAGATATGGCTTTTACTTTTTGAATGGCTGGTGCCCAGCTAAAATAACAGATGCATTAATACTTCCCCAGTATTACACAAATGCTAACGGCAGTGGAAAGCTGACCTTCTCATACTTCTTAACAGTTTTCGTCCAATTATGACTCTAGGATGCAAATGCTAAGAACCGCTAGTGGATTCTTACTATCCTTATGCTGCTATTGTGGTCAAAGCTGTCACACAATCAGCACATGCAAGCAGGTGCTCCTTTTCTAAGAAGGTGACCAGTCTGCTCATTTCTCTAATAACATAGATTAATTATATTCGCTTGGTGCAAACATAATTGCAGTTTTTGCTACTATATTTTTTTTTAAATTAAGATGTTGTCTTGCTCTGTTGCCAGGCTGGAGTGCAGTGGCAAGATCTCGGCTCACTGCAACCTCCACCTCACAGGTTCAAACAAGTCTCCTGCCTCAGCCTCCCAAGTAGCTTTTAAAATTTTTTATCTCCAACCTGTCAACGGCAATGGTCACATGGTTACAGTGAAAATGCTGTTCACCTTCAGACTTAGGCAAGCCAGGAGAAATGCACATCCCAAAATACCTCCCTCCCTTCAGAAAACACCGTTTGTTTTGTTCTGTTTTAATTGAGCAATAGCCTTTTACATGAAGTTCTAGATTTTTTTCATATTTTGCATTAAATAAAATTAATTCATCTAAGTTTTTCAATTTTATCTTTGCATTTTTTTCCCCAGTGATTTTTTTAATTACCCTGGGCAACAGCTTCAGTTATTTATGGCTGTTGACCTGTGTAGGTGTGATGTAGGGTGGGAGGTTGTTTGACTTCTCTGTATATATTGCACTAAAATCATGATGAATAAACTGTAAGTTAAAGTAGAATTAATTAAATATAATTAATTTAAAAAATAATTTACAAAAATCAAATTACCTTTATAAGGTGTATTTTTTTAGAGAATGGGTAAAATTCTGACTATTATGAGATAACAGCAATGAAAGAAACTGATCAGGTAACTCAGATACTGCTAATCTTATAATAATATTAACATAGTACTTAACAAATATCTTAAGCACTAAGGAAAATAATTGTATAGTCTCTCCTCATCACAGAAAATCAGTTGATTCCCTGAGGGAGATGTTATTTTAACTTCCTCCCCGACCTGGTACATCCCTGGACATTAGCCTGGAAGGCATCTCCAGAGGTGCTTAGCACTAATTAGCACTTTTTATAAAGATCTTCATTTGTGGAATTACTTATAGGGGAGTCAGCCATCTCTTAAAAAGGGTGCTGGATATTCTTCAGCGGCTCATGGAGAAATTTTGGCTGCCTTTTAAAAGTAAGTTTCATAAAAAGACAAATTTAAAAAAAAACAGTGGAGACACTTACACAATTTTTTTAGAAATACATCCACATTCTAGAAAATTCATTGTGCCTTATTAATAGCACAGTGGCAAGGGAACAGGATTGAGATTCAAGAGACTGATGCTCCGGTTCTTGTTCAATGGGGAGCCAGTCATCAGACAGGGGCTTAATCTCAATTATTTAAGCCTTGTTTTCTTTACCTCGAAAATGGGGATGACATCTTCCTTCTCTCACTGGGTCCTTATAAGGATAAAATGAGCGGATTGACATGAAACACTTCGAAAAGCTGGAATCACGAATAACTAAGTAAATGAAGTATCTTATTATAGAAATTATCCAAATTCTGAACTATCTAAGGTTACTGAAAAGAAAATATTTAATTATTTGTAAAAATAATATGCCTGGAAATATCAGGCAATAAGTTATTTGCTTGTGCCTGTTCTCTTTTTAAAATATAGATTCTCTATTTGCCCATTTTTTGATGGTTGGGCATTTTTCCAGTTCCCCCATGACCTCTGGAAGAAAAATGTTTAGTGTTTCTGGGGTTAACCTTAATCAATTTCTTAACTTTGTGGGATATAGACAGATAGGGCTACAAATTTAAACACAACATTTTTCTGGAAATTCAACTTAATGAGATACTTTCCAATCCTAGAATGATTTTCTTTCTTTTGAGTTTTCTTTTTCTTTCAAATTACCTAAGCAATGCATGATTATTTTAGAAACTTTGAAAAACCGAGAAAAGCAGAGAAAAAAAATAAAATTTTCTATAATCTCATTGTTTTTTAGAAGTTACCTAAATCAAGAAGTAAAAGAACCCTCCTCATGCCATCCGTCCCAATCCCCAGAGACAACCACTGTTTTTCCCAGGAGAACTTTTGTGTAACCTTTCTTACTTACACAAACCTGCCATCAACAGAACACCCATATGTGACAATAATTAAATCCCTTTGCTTGTCTTCCAACTTTCCATCACATAAAAACCGTAGCTTTACACGTTTTTTCAGTTTTGTCCATCTGAAGCTATATTTCGCTTCACAGCTTATTAACTTGATTTACAACTTCTATATATTTCGACAGATGGTAAGTGGCCTCCACTTATACTCTGGCCCCAGGCTCCACAAATGTTCCAGGCAGAGCTGCATCAGTAAGCTTGCTCCAGCGGGTGCTCCCTGGGTCCCTGCCTCTGCCTGGCCCCACCGAACCTCTGAGTCATCTTGGCCCTAGCCCCCAGGCTCTTTCTGGAAATATAGATGGAGGGGAGGGGAAAGGACAGGGCATAGAAGACTCAAAGGAAGTAGAAGAGGAAAAGAGATCCAGTAGTACATAACACTACACTCTAAAGGCTTTTTAACTTTCTATTCCTGATCTGGACTATGAGCTTTGAAGGGCAATGGCTGAACCATGTTTCAGGCACAGAACTGGCATTCAACACATAGCTGTAGAAAGGACCAAATGACTGAATGAACAAACGAATGGGCAAAAGAGAGAGACCCACCACCCTAAAGTGGAAATATAGAATTCCTATGGATCTCATACACTACCAATTCTGAAAACAGACCTTTAAAACATTGAGTAAGGTGCCTTTGGCCACCTCCTTTTAAATGCATACCTCTCAGTATATTTATGAAAATAGCAGTGCCCTTAGCTGATAGTCGAATGACATTTTCACCCTAAATATGACTGCTAACATGGAATGACCTACTTTTAAAAAGTAATATACCTTGCATATAGTGGAGATAAACATTTTTTTCCTACATCGTGGATGTATTATCAAACTCATTGTTTGCTCTTGAGTTTGATCACGTTACCAGCCCAGAATTGTAATTTTGACCCTGTGAAATATAAATGCAGCAAGCACTCAAAAGACAGAACATTCTGGGTGAGTAAGGGTCTGTTTGTGCATTTTAGAGGCAGGTAAACCTAGTTGTGTTGGCCACATTTAAAGTCTAATTGCCTGTGTGACTAAATGGCAGCCAATAGTAGGTGGACTCTGCTTCCAGATCCAGGATGACTGATGTTTTTATCTCTAAGATCACAATATATTATTTGCACAATACAAAGGAACCGTAAAATAAAACCACAAGCATTACTGAAATACATGGGTCAGTTTCTCATCTTGCCTGTTTTATAATCTCAATATTAGTCATGATGCTGGGCTTGGATTTCCATGCCTATAATATGGCAATTTCATTTCTAGAAATTTATCCTAAGGAAATACTTAGTGAGATGCACAAATATTTGTATACAAAGATGCTCATTGCAGCACTGTGTATATTAGTGAAGCACTGAAAACTATCTTAATGTCCTACTCTAGGAGACTGGATAAATAAAGCGTGGTGTAGCCAAAGGACATAACATTATAAAACCATTAAAAATCATCATGGTGTGTAAGGAGAGCAAATTGTGTGGGGAAATAATCATGGTATATTTCACACCATGTTGTTAAATGAAAAGAACAGTTTGTACAATAACAATGTGATTATACTAAGAATTCCACCTAAGAATGCAAAGAAAAATGACTAGAATGCTATCGAGCAGCATTTTAACAGTGATTCTCATTAGGTGACATTATGGGTGATTTACTTTCATTTCTGTGCCTTTCTCTATTTTATACATTTCCTACAATTAATATGTAATTAAAAATTTGGAAGTATGTTATTCTTAAACAGGACTACCTGATAACAGCATTCTGGTTTGTAACATTGACGATTGTTACATTTTATGCTCAACTCCCATTGTGCAGAACCCCACACCCAGAGTCCTCTTAACCCCTGTGTTTGGATATCTGTATGTATTTGGGTAGGTGGCTTGGATGCTCATTCCATGGTTGGGCCTGTATCTTGTTCATTTTTATATCTCCAATGTGAAATAAAAGTCATAAAGCAATACCAGGTTTTTTCAAAGATCCAGGAAAACTTAACTCAAAGAAATCCTTCTAAATTCCAGAATTCCAGGCCGTCCCTGAAGGTATTCCTCCAGCCTCCCAAGTGGTCCGTTGCACAAAGTAGCCACCCAGGTTAAAACCTCATAGTCAATTCAACATGATGGGCTCCAACTGTATCTATCTAATTTGCATGTCCTTCAGTAAGCATTTTACTATTCACTGTATAGGACTACCACCCAGATTTAATTAAATAGTTGATTAAACATGATAATGGTGATCATTTCAATAAAGCACTGAATTTCAATTCCTTGTTCAGAACATAATCCTTATTACATTTTCTCTAGGGGAAAATAAAATCTTTTCTTTTCATCTTTTTCCAGGGAAGTTTTCCACTTAGCACATGAGAGAACTGCTCTCACAAGGGCGATTCCATGTTCTGCACCTGAAGGCTAGAGGGAAGGGGTGAGAGGGAATGCTCACCCTTGGACCTGAGCCCTTGATCGGCCCTAGATGTAAAGACATCATAGACGCTCACCTTAGGAGATTTATGACGTCTAACGGAGCCATGGTGACCAAGGACGTTCCTGGTATGTCTACTGTAGCCTTAGATGCTAGTACATATAACTCTCAGGTAATTATAGACGATGCAATCCAGCCTAGACTTTGGGATTTTTCTGGTCAGTTTCTGCATGCCCAGCCAATCAATATGCATTAATTATTACACGCTAATTGTTAGCATGATTCAGTCTCAATGATTCATCAGCATTACACACAGGGAAGTCTGTTGTGACTGGAATTGGGAAGAGTTAAAGGAATGAAGAAATGTGTTTTGCCTAAAGGTGCAAAACATTTCAGTGATAAGTGATGGGAGCACCATGGTGGGTGGAGAGCAAACGCAAACTCATTGGGAATTTCCAGAAATGTGTGGACGGCACCTTCCTAGCATTGTCTGACGGTAAATTTAGCACTTGGCGTATGCTGCTTTGAATTGTAATTATTTTTCAATTATAGATACCTTATCCTTCCAACTTCATTAAACACTCCAGAAGGGTAGGGGCCACACTGCTTACGTCTGGGTCTCCAGTACCCAACACCCAGCCTCGGAGAGGCAGCCCCTCAGTAGTAGTGATGGGAGATGGCTGCCTCCTTGGTGATTGTGGTGATGCCACTGGCAAAATCTGCCATGCTGACCAAATAAAGGTAAAACTTTTAGAGGTGCTGTCAAGCTCCTTTGGCCTGCTAATCACTGAAAAACAGGCTCTCTCACTCATATGAGATCTCCCCTCCTTCCTGTTCTCAGCTAGAAATACCATGAGAACAGACTGTCTCACAGTGTTTTCAGATTTCCACTTCTAGTCCCTGCCAAAAGCAGGAAGTGCAGAAGTGGGCGATAATTCTTTTTTTCTTTTTAGAACACTTTATTAAAGAGTTTTGGTTGTTACTTGTTTTTCCCCCGAACCTCATTAGAATTAATTTGAGCAATACTTTGAATTCACATAATGATTTTCTTACAGGACACACAAAACCCATTATTTATCAATGCCATTTCCCAACAAGGTAAGGTAGAAGGAGCTACAGAGGGTAATGAACATTAAAGATGGAAGACACCTTGGGGATTTTCTACTCCGGCATTTTTTTTAACTAGTGAGAAAATTGAGACCCAGAGTCATCGTGTGTGGTATTTCCTGCTCTATGTCAGCACGTGCCTCCCTGACATAGTACAGCTGTCATTCTCTTGTCCTACACTGCCACCACCCCTACCCTATCACCACTTCCCCCCACCACTCCTGTATCTATTCTATCCCCTCTGCTCTCCTGCTCCTTTCCCCTAAGTCAACTCTTTCATTTTGGGAGAATCAATTGTAGATAACCATCATCAAAAGGACCAAGAATCACCGTGTCTGACTATGCTGTTGGAAATGAAGGAAGGAGGAAAAGGAAAACAAGAAGGCAAGAAGAAAACAGAGGAGTAAACATAACATCAAAGTGGGGAAAGAGACAGCAAAGGTTTATCAGAGACCAAGGAAATGGCTGCTACCTCCTTTCAACATAGCACAGCAACTCAACATCCCTGTTGGATAAACTGCTCTATACATGGTGCCATTTTGGTTCTACTTCCTGAGGGTAAACCCCACCTGTTCTAATACTATCCCCATATCTTAGATGGATGTCCAAGGAGGCAAGTGAGTCCTCAAATGAGAGCCAGAGGCAAAGCAGAAGTAGGCCTTACAGATTCTATGGGCTAAATTGTGTCTCTCCCAACTGCCTATGTTGAGAGTATAATTCCCAATATGACTATTTGGAAATAGTCCTTCCTAAAGGAGGGAAATCAATGTTAAATGAGGTCATAGGGGTGGGGTCCTCATCTAACAGGACTGGTGGTCTTATAAAAAGAGGAGGAAAGAGTGATCTCTCTCTGCACACAAAGAAGAAAGGTCATGTGAGAACACAGCGAGAAGGGCATCTACAAGCCAGGAAGAGAGCCCTCACCCGAAACTGAACGAGTCAACACCTTGATCTTGGACTGCCCAGACTCAAGAACTGTGAGAAATAAATATCTGTTCTTCAAGCCACTCAGTCTATGACTTTTTTTTGTTATGGAAGCCCCCCAGCAGACTAATACCTGTTAGTATTTTCTTCTTTGAGATGGAGTCTCGGTCTGTCACCAGGCTGGAGTACAGTGGGTGATCTTGGCTCATTGCAATCTCTACCTCCCAGGTTCAGTAACTCTACTGTTTCAGCCTCCCAAGTAGCTGGGATTACAAGCACGCATCATTAAACCCAGCTAATTTTTGTATTTTTAGTAGAGATGGGGTTTCACCATGTTGGGCTTGATCTCCTGACCTTGTGATCGACCTGCCTCAGCCTCCCAAAGTGCTAGGATTGCAGGCGTGAGCCACCACACTTGGCCTACATGATAGTTTTTAATTGTTAATTAATTGTCATTGATAAGCCGGAGTCCAAATTTTTACCATGACACTCTAAAGTCTCATGGCTGTCCATCCCATACCTCAGGACATTCTTAGTGGTTATAATGGTTTCTCATCATTAGCCTACATCTCAAGTAGCTGATCTAAAGTGAATCATTCATTGTAGAACCCAACTGGGGTGACAGCACAGTACAAGATCACAGAAAAGGGATATTACCATTCATCAGCTGACTTCTCAGGACCACATTCACTTCTTCAGAGAGGTAGGTTTACTCTGAAGCTCCCAGAGCTGTAGCTTCAGGGCAGCATACTTGCAGGGGCCCCTTCCCAAGACCAGTACTTAATTTTGTATTCAATTTTTTGAAGATTTTAAAGGTAGAGGCCTCCCTGCACCAGTATATGTTCCTGATACTCCCATATTTTGCCTGGCATTCAACACATATGTATTACGCCAGGCCTTATGCCAGACACTAAAAATATAACAGGAAATAAGATAAGGCCATCACAGTACAAGTAAATGAGTATCAGAGTAAACAGGAGATCTGTATCATTTAGGCAGAAACCACCGAAATATGTATTAGTGAGGGTGGGAGAGACAGAGGAGTTTCGTTCACTTCACAAGGACTTGCCAGATACAACCCAAATGGAGTTTGCTCCCTTCATGCCCCCAGAGGCCCTAGTGATACACATTTTTCAACTGGAGGGAAAGATGACTGACTGAAAACCTGCTGTGTTTTGAGTAAAGAACTCAGTATTTTGCATATATTGTTTAATTCTTACAGCATCCGTGTGGGATGAGCATGATTATCCCTGTGTGGTGAGGACAATAAAGTGCAAAGAGGTTAAATAATGTGTCCCATGGAGCTCCCGTTACACACACCCAGGCCTACCTGACTCCAAAGCCCACGAAGCTTCCAGGCTGCCAAAGCTTCTGCCATGAGCCCCAAGGCTGAGGCCGGGCTGAGAGCAGCCAGGAATTAAGGGAGAAAGGGTGGAGACAGGGAGACTCAGACTCTCGAATTATGACTGCAGCAGTTTTCCAAATGGCATTCTTTTCACATTGCTGCTATGTAGGGCCCAATTCCATAGTACAGTAGCGTGCGTGGTGGCAGCAAAAGAGCACAGGGCTGCAGGCGTCACCATGCCTCTGAGTCTGTGCTCCGTCGCTTTTCCACTCTTTAAAGCTCTGTAAAATTTAGTTTTAAATCCATGAACCACCTGGCTGTCGAATCATGCTTAGACATCTAAATTCTATGAGGAAAATAAGCCATTCAAATTTTGAAAATTTTCAAACTGAATAAATCATGCTTGGCTTCGAAATCTTTACCCTGCATAGCCCTTATGTAAGCTCCTTTGTGGAAGTTTCCTTGTTCAGCCAAAGGAAAAAAAAAAGTGTCAAATGATCACAAACCACCCTCTCCTTTGGCTACGAGTGTAACAGGAAGCACTAGGATGATAAGTCATTTTTCTCCTTTTATCTTCTTAAAAGACCAACCAGAAATCAAATGTGAACAAAGCTAATGTGATACTAAGTTTGCAAATTTAAACTAAGAGTTCTGCAGTCAAGACATGCAAAGTTTCCATAGCAACATTAGCTCATCTTTAGGATTTTCAGTTCTATTAAAGCCATTAAAATCATATTTTTGTATGTACAAATGTATATAAAATTTGTATATACAAATGAATTGAATTTAAGATTGAGGCTTATTTTCCATATTTTAATTATAAATGATCCCTATTATGAGTCTGTATGCATGTTTTCTGAGTATACCTTTTGTAGATAGATAGTATTAATTAGTAGTTTGATTTATTTCATTCTTTCTTCAATTTTTGCCTCTTTTATGTTCCATTTCCTCAATACCCTGGATGCTGGAAGGGGGAAGGATAAGGATGTCAGACTGCTCTAAACTACACAAGGAACCCACCTTGCTATAATCATGGTGCCACCTCTAAGTAAAACTCAAAATCAATTTCATTAGGGAGAGAAGGATCTCAGCAAACATTCTCCCAGATTCCCATTGGATGGATGTACTCACAGAGGCTACCCTGTGATGGGTTTCCCTATACCTTTTGGAGCTGGAAAGGAAACTGGCTTTACCAGTGGCCACAATCATAGCTGGCTACAGGAAAAAAGAAAGCATCTCCTCAAGCTAAGCCTGAGTAGAGAACCTAGTAAAATCCTGCCTCAGTTGGAAAGGGTAGTCATGCAACGTATTTCATGAGCTCCCCATAGAAAACCACACACGCAACAAACATTTCCTTGTGGTTTGCATCTACAAACTGAAAATTGTAGATTCTTGCTAGCAATGTGGATGGCATTTATTTTTCCAAAAATGAGTGAAGCAGATGGGGATGGCATGGATGCTGGCAGATACCCATGATGTCCCTTCATATACGACAGTGTCGGACAGTTGCGACATCTGGACTGAACATGGGGGAGGGAAAGGAAACATATCTCCAATTCACTTTCAGTCTGAAATAGCATCACCATGTCACAGACATGCAGAAATCCTGAATGAAACCGACAAATGGATGTGGCAGAAGGCTTAAAGTGAAACCAGCCTGCAATGATCAGGGCTATTTTTAGTTTTCTAATGAAGAAAGCAGCTGTATTCAGAAAGGCTGTCACTCGCTGCTTGTGAGACCAATTTGTTCTTTTCCGGGGTTCCAGTATTCGTCACCAGTAAGCCTCCTCTGGGATCCTCAGAAAGAGGCCCCAAACAGCAATTACTGTGGGTTTGGCTTTTTTGTGTTGTTTCTTTAAAAAGAGTTTTCAGAGAAGGTTCTTCAGAATCTTAGTTAATAGACCTATTAGAACCAGGGAATAATAAGCTGTCCCTAGCCTTTCTGGTACAAACCTGATCCCATACAAATCAGTTTCAAAGCCTTAAAGAGCAAAGGACAAAATTCCAGCTTACTTTTTGTACAACCTAAGTGGCTAGTCTCTCTCTCTCTCTCTTTTATTCTCTTTGACCTGAACTGCTAAGCAAGAACATGGAAGACAGTAGACATTCCCCTGCAACTGAAAGGCAAGCATTGGAGAGTGACCCACTTTTAGAAACAAGAGTGAGCAAAAGAGAGCGATTTACTATCATATAAGAGAGACACTGAAGGATAGGTACAATAAGTGAGAAAGTTGCCATCCCAAGTCCCAACGAGTCAGTTTCAGCATAGGTCCTCTCACCCTCCATGGGGTTGCAGCATCTATGGATGCTGTACTCAGATCTCAAAATGTGGTGATGTTTACGTGTCAACTGTACATGGGATCTTGTCAAACATGGCGAACCCCATCTATGACCTTTATTAAAACTGCTCTGACCTGGCAGTAAAGCATGCTTTCTTATTTCTAAATATTGAACTTTCTGGCAGAAATTGTCCGTTATGTTAGCAAGAACTCATGAAGGCTCAGTAGCCCCGCAATTGTGGGCTGTGAATCAAACCCTCAGGACTGAACCCTTCTCTGGAGAGGAAGAATCAGCAGAGACCCTCCCTGAAATATCACCCTCAGCTTGTGCACCCAGTGGCACCTCACAACATAAAAGTAACTGGCTGGGGTATTGGGAAACATCAGAACATCCCTCTAAATTCAACCTAGACTGAAAAAGAGTTTGAAAACCTCTTCCAGGTTAAAAAAAGAAAAGGAGGCCAGGTGAGGTGGCTCACACCTGTAATCCTAGCACTTTGGGAGGCCAAGGTGGGTGGATCACTTGAGGTCAGGAGTTCGAAACCAGCCTGGCCAACATGGTGAAACCCCATCTCTACTAAAAATATTTTTAAAATTACCCAGGCATGGTGGTGGGCACCTGTAATCCCATCTACTTGGGAGGCTGAGGCAGGAGAATCGCTTGAACATGGGGGGCAGAGGTTGCAGTGAGCCGAGATTGCACCATTGCAGTCTAGCAAAACTCCATCTCAAAAAAATGAATAAATGAACAAATAAAGGGAGGGGAGAGGAGGAACTGAGGAAGTAAACAGACAAGCAATAAAAAACATCAGTTAAGTCCCAGACACTAAAACCCAGTGCTGACATTCCATTATCTGCAAAGTGAGGGTTGGACTCCATGATATTTCAGTTTCCTTTCAGTTCTGAAACTTGGACTCAAGAGATGATGAAATCATCCTAAAGCATTCACTTCAGTGTGTAAACACTCTCACTTTGTGGAAATTCTTCCTCTAGCCCAGTGGCTCTCAGCCCTGGCTGTACCTTAGAATCACCTGGCGACCTTTTAAAAAAATACTCAGGCCTAGGTCAAATGCCAGATTGTTTAAGTCAGACTCTCTTAAGGACTCCATATTTTTCCTAACTTCCTTCACCAGCCTAACTGAAATGCCTTCTTGTTTCCCCCTCATGGACACTCAGAACAGCCGCTTAGGACAGCTAAGCAGGAGGCTCATTCCAGGGCTAGATCTGCACTGCCCATCACCATGGCCACCAGGCCCATGTGATGCTGAGCCTCGAACATGGGCTTGTCCAGATGGAAATGCAAATTAAGTAGAAAATATACACTCAGTTTCCCAGATTTAGTATAAAACAAAAGAATGTAAAATATCTCATTTAAATCATCGTAATTGATTGAAATAATGACATTTCCAAGACATTGGGTTAAAGAAAATATATTATTAAAATTAACTTTAATGGTTTC